GGGGAATACTGTCAGATCTGTGGGCTTTCTATGCCTACCTGCTAATGTTAATTACAGACAGTGGCACACAATCTCGTGTTTCATCGGGCCAGTCCCTTTGTCATATATCATCCTTATGATGGTAGCAATAAAGGGTGAGAATTAATAAAACAACAGAAAACTCTTTAAAGTGAAGCATGTAGAAAAGCACAAATGCTGTCTGTATGACTTACTTGTGCCTGGTGAAACTTATGAAAAGAGTGATGAGTTGGCTTTGTTTTAAGTGTAGTCCTCTTGTGTGGAATCTAAAGGAATGTGCTAGGCATGATGTTTAAGATGCATAAAACTGAAAAAAACAGCTAAGCACAACATTAGTCATTCTGTCTTCAAATATTTAGTCTTTCTATAGTCAGTCAAAGCACTCAAGTTAACATCCACACACTGGCAGCCATAGCATTATTGTAATATATCAGCCAAGAACCTGTTCATCAATGACAATAAAAAGAACAATGCGTAACAGCTGAAGGACACTAAGAAAGCCGCTATCCTTTTCACACAGGGCTGCTGACTTGAGCAACAAGGCTATAACTCAGTTCCACTTCATTGTCCTGAGACAGATTAGAAGCCAGTCTAACATCCAATACTCTTCATTCTGTTACTTTCATCATAACATTAATGATGAAATGTAAAAGCTTTTGAAAATTCTGACATCACCTTGATAGTCTCACATTACGACATTGTTTTAATTTCAAGACATTTTAAACATCCGTACATCACCATGGTCATGACCGCACTCAGTGAATGGAATAGACATGGTAATGATTTCAACAAAACGGCTCCTCTTCCTTCACCTCCAGTTCAATACTAAGAGTTGCCAACAGGCAGGACAACTTGATGTTATTCTAAAAATGGCCTCACAGGTTGTGCATCCTTGTGTCTTTGCACACAAGCCTGTGTATTTAAATGTGCATGCATGTGTGTCTCCTGCGATGGACTGGCAACCTGTCCATGGTGTACCCCGCCTTTCGCCCAATGTCAGCTGGGATAGGCTCCAGCCCCACCGCGACCCTGTACGCAGGATAAGCGGTTGACGATGGATGGATGGATGCATGTGTGTCTTGGTACAGCAGGGTGTTGTGGGCATGTGAACCATCATATTGGTCTATTTTTGGCAACAGTGACAGATGCTTTGTTTACGCAAATCACCATGACACATAAAGAGGATGGACTTGAGACTATATATATATTTTATACTGTGCGTGTGTGTGTGTGTGTAGTTTTGGCCCACATGCAGCACTGAGCACAGTTGGAGATTGAGTGGCTTGGTGAGTCAGATAATTGAATGAGTCAGCTGTGACGAGGCAATCACATGGTTTGAAGGAATAAGAAGAATCTCAACTTTGCATAAAAGGATAGACAGGAAATGGACAAAATGGCATGAATGCTGTGCATGTATCAAAACATTAAAACAGTGAAACAGTTGCAGTCAAGTCTGTACTTCCTGCAATGAAGCTTTAGGGCTATGGTAAGACATGAATAGTTTTCCATGCTTACCTTAAGCATCTTTATCATTAAAACCATTAAATAGCAACAGACAAACTTATGCTGTTACTGTTAAAATGTACAGGGACTTTGAAACAGCCTTTAGGCAGACTGTTACACTCATATACTGATAGTCTTTAAACAAATGAGGATTCAGATCAATACATTCATTTCTTAGGTTTAATTGCACTTATTTACCTTGCATGACTTTAAGTCAATTTTTCACCTTTAATTATGCCTACCCCTAAACATTCAATATGCACTTGAATTTAATTAGTGGGTTAATTTTTAAACTGCACATCCGCTTTACTGCTTTACCACCAAAATACATATTCAGAATTTGATATCCTTCAGGAATAAAGAATAATTTCTCAAACTTTTCCCTGCTGTTAGCAACCTGCTATCAAAATGACATGAATAGAAGAATAACCATTTTATGATGCTGCTGTTTCCCTTAGTCTCATCTGGTCACCTTTTGAGAAGCATTGCTATTTTGAGAAGCATTTCTAAATATACGACCCTGTCCATTCACCCTCCACATGTCCTCCATGCCTTTCCCTATTTCTATCAGTGTGACATGGGTGTGTGTGCAGGAACAGTGCAGTCACAGGGACCCTGCAAAGGTTCTGACAATGCACAACAAAGTGGAGAGAAATTCAAAATCACATGATGGAAGTACTTCAATTACAAGTCTTATTTACCTGTATCAAAATTTGGGGAGAGAGGTCAAATCAAACAAATAAAATATTAACCAAGAACATCCAAGAGTAAGAAACTGCTTTTGGCACTCTCTTTGATGCCAGCTGAGTCAGTGCTGCTGAGAGAGTTTGGTTTTTAAGGACTTGATAACCCAGTTTGTGAAGGCAAAGTCAAGGGAGGAGAGCTTGTCAATGCAAGGACCATTGTGTGCATGTCTACATCCCCAGTGCTGATGTGTGATGTGATACTGTATGTTCTGATTTAAAAAGATCACTGTCTATGGTATGTCCTCAATAGAAGTTCTTGGTATGACAGAAGCCTGCTGTCTGATTTGATGGATGAATTTGGTTAAGTGCTTCATTATCAGAGCCCTGGCCATTTTGTTAGATCACCAGATGCCATTGTGTGCATTGCGGTAGATTTCTTGTCACTTAGCTAGCTATTTACTGAGAAATGTAGTTGAAAATCAATGCACCAATTGCTTTGATGAATCAGTTCAAGGAATCAGTTCAAGGCAATATTTCAAGTTATTTTAACAGTGATTATATGCTTCTACTGCATGGTTCCAAACCAGTTTACACAGATAAATGTACAGTTTACACGCATTTTCAAAACTGTCCTTTTTTCAATTCCCAAAACTGAACACACAAAAAGCAAAATGTTACATATCTCCTGCAAAATGAAACACTGCATTAAATTAATTCAAAATTAGGTATTTACATTGAACACTTTCTTCATGATAGTACGTTTTTGGACATACCATGTACATACTGTTGTTCTAAATCTAAAACTATTTTGTCTATCATGGGCTTATATTTATGTTTACATACAACGTTCTAGATTGAAAGTAATCTGCTGAGAGGGGTTACACCGTAAACACCAATGCAATACTGAAACAGAAAATATTTATTTGCCCAAAAACATTACAGTTGTAACAGTAGCACATTGTTGTATACAGTAGCATACAAGAAAACAACATGAGAATTTGCGCAGAAACTATAAACATATGTAAACCAAAAGTATCAGTTAAGCTAAGCTTAATCTCTTTTCTGGGCTGGGGCTGGCCACAATACTATGTCCACATCACAGGATATATAATTTCTCTTGCCAAACTGCAAGGGAGTCTTCTAATGTGGCATATCCAGCCTTGGACAGAGGCAGCATGTATGTCCTCACACGCTTCCTATATTGCTTGTAGAAGCACCATGCAGGCATAGGGTTAGTAATCATATACTTTCCAGTGCCAGGCTGAGAAGAATTCCTCAATGGGATTTAGAAAAGGTGAATATGGGGGTAGGTACTGAGAACTGTGGATGGATGGCAAACCAGTTTTGGACCAGAACAGCCTGGAAAACTGTCATTGTCCCATATTACCACAAATCTGGCATGCTCTGGAACTGGATTTGGATCTGATAAAAGCATGTTGTGAATTGCGTTCAGAAAAGTGACCATATGGGTGGTGTTGTAAGGACCCAGTATGGCATGGTGATGGAGGACACCGTTCTGTGTAATGGCAGCATGGTTATGTTTCCCCCACACTATCCAGGGACACTGATTATTGCCCTCTGTCCTGCATTTCTCTCCCTGTGTCTGGATTTGGTGAGTTTGAAGCCAACTTTAGCGACATAAATGTTTTCATGGCAAGTTGCATGTGCATCTCCAATACTCTGTAACAGACAAAAGTAGTGTTGCAGACATACATGAAATTCATGTCACAGATTCTTGACTCAGTCAGAGTTTCTCTCAGAAGGCACCTTGTACAGTTGTTTCATTCTCAGTTGGAGGATGTGGTGTATGGTCAGCAATGATGTTATTGAATATGGTTTATCATGTCATTTAGGATATGATCTTTTATTTCTCCAAATGACATTGTTGGCCAAAACCATATTTACAATTGCAGACCCTTGTACATCTGTAAACATGCGTTCTCTTCCTCCATTATATCTTTGCTTTTCCACTAGAATATTCAAAAAGTAAGTATTAAGTGTGTGTGTGTGTGTGTGTGTGTGTGTGTGCAGTATAGTTACTGTAAAAAATTTACAAAATATTTTACATTTTACAGCATGATAACCAACCTCACTGTGGCCATCTATTCATACAATGCAGTGCAGTAAATGGATGGCTTAGAACTGCAAATGTTTAAGTAATACTATGGTAGTTTCATTCCTGTTCTCATTTCTGAAGGTATGAATTATGGACGCGACTGTAAAGTTACTTAAGTTGGCTGTCTCATGGTCAACCCGTGGTTGACCACATGATCAGCGAGCATATCCCTGATCTGCTTCCTTCTCTTCTTTGCCCTCGTCCTCTTCCAACCCATCCTCCCCTTCCAGCTCTTCCTCCTTGAATTTGTCCTTGTGCTCATTGTCACCCCCTGCCTGCCTCCTACTCCCGCTGCTCTCTCTGCATTGTTGGCATCCTTTGTTTACAGTTTTTCTCAATTGCTAAAACACTAAACCCGATTGTCTGAACCAAATGCTCAGTTGCCTGAAACCACTGATTGAATCAATCACTCTTTTGGCAAAACCATAAGCACTTTTCACCTGTTGAGACACAACTTGCCAACACATTTTCATTGTGATGCATCCGTGCTGCATAATGGTGAGCACAGGTGACAAAAGTCAAACACAATTAAAGCACAGGTGTCACCACTTGAACACAACAACTCAAAATTAATCACACTTGTGGCTAATGATGTGAGGGAACATATACAGTAAGCCAGTTCAGAGAGCACTGGTTTGTGAGGCCCTACAATGGATAGAAATCTGAGAGGAAGAGTTTGTGTTAGAAGAGGTCGAGGTGGTCGGCGAAGACAAAGAACAGTAATATCTGATGAAATCAGAGCTACTGTGATTGACCATGTTCTTGTCCATGTATGTATGTAAATGTTGACAGAAATTACTGTATGACATACTATATACTGTACCACAGTATACTGTAAGTAAATATATGTTTCAGTACATCACTGTACCAATGTACTGTAGTATTGTAATGGAGGGTTGGTCTAACTGTTTGTAGGCCTAGTATTCCATGTATATTTTTTGTAACTCCATGTTCTCTTTTTGTAGAATTGAAAGACTGCCACATGGGGGTGGGAGGACAGGTATGTTCTCCCCACACCAAGAGACCCTAATTGTTGATATGGTCCGTGAGAACACTGCCATTAAACTGAGTGAAATTCAGCAGAAGATCATTGAGGACCATGTAAATTTTGAGGGTATCAAAAGTGTCAGCCTCTCTACTGTTGATCGTGTCCTCAAGCGAAACAGCTATACAGAGTGCCCTTTGATCGCAACTCAGACAGAGTCAAAGAGCAAAGATTCCAGTATGTACAGGTTCGCATATATCCAGACACATTCAATGTTGATTACTCTAAGTAGTGATTTACTGTAGTGGCCAAAATCACTTTTTCCGTATCACTTACAAAACTATATCTATTTCTACAGAGGGTTTTTCAACTGGATGCAATGGCCCCATGAATACATCTACATGGATGAAGCTGGGTTTAATCTCACCAAAAGGAGAAGGAGAGGCCGTAATGTGATTGGACATCGGGCCATTGTTGGTGTTCCTGGGCAGCGTGGTGGCAATGTCACATTATGTGCTGCCATCAGCAATCATGGGGTTGTCCACCATCATGCCAACCTGGGGCCCTACAACACTCACCAGCTCCTCATTTCCCTCAATCACATGCAAGATGCTCAGCAGCAGGATGAGCATCCCATCTATGTTGTTGTTTGGGACAATGTGTTTTCACAGAGCCCTTCAGGTTAGAGAGTGGTTCAATATGAACCAAGGTTTTATCAATCTTTGTCTTCCACCGTACTCCCCTTCCCTAGTACTCCATTGAGGAATTCTTCTCCTCATGGCGGTGGAAGGTATATGAACGCCAACCTTACACCAGGGTAAATCTCCTGCAAGCCATGGGACTTGCCTGTGGTGACATAGGTGTGGAGGCATGCCAAGCCTGGATACGGCATGCCAGGGTTTTTTTCCCCCGTTGCCTGGCCAGACAAAATGTGGCCTGTGATGTGGATGAAGTCCTGTGGCCTGACCCAGTACGGAGACATGATGCTGTGGCTGAGTAATGCACTTATTTGTATATTTTTGTACTTTATTTTTACATGGGCTTACTGTACACAAGTGGCAAACGCATAAGATTTCTGTTTCTTTTTACAAGTGCTACGTGTAAATGCACAAGATTTCTGTTTTGTCTTTTTGTACAAGTGCTAAATGCACACGTTTTTTTTGTTTTGCAACATGCATTTAGCCTACAGTGAACAATAAACATTTATTTCTCCAGCTTCATGTCCTGAGCATTGTGTTTTCTATTTTTCTACGTAGTGTTTAGTGACTGTTCAGCAGTGTTTTTAATTTTGATTGACTCGGGGCACGATTTGACAACATAGTTCAGTTTTGAGCACAAACTGTTTTGAGGTGAAAGTTTGGTTTTGCAAGAAGAGTCTGAGGTTTCGTGAATGTAGCTTGAAAATTGGGTTTTGTGTTCACAGTTTAGAGAAAAGGAGAGCACCTTTCAAGAAATTCTCAAAAAGTCTTAGCAATCGAGAAAAACTGTAAAACAGGCATTTGACCTTTGGCCTATTTATAGGCCCATACCAAAGCAGTAATTGGTTAGTGATCAGTTAAGCAATTCTTGTTTGCACATGTGAAGAGCTGGTGTAGGTCATGGTGAAAAAGTGTAGCATTTTGACTGGTTGTGTTTGGAAAAGGCAAAGTCACTTCCTGCTAGAGTTTTGTGTCTATGGTGGAGAATTGTGTGTAGTGTTTTGTGAAACTGAAAAGTGAGTGAAAGGCTGATGGGTTTGCAGATTTGGTGTGTGGTTTTGCTCTTTGAGTGAGAGGTTTCAGTAATCGTGTGACATGTCAAGATTTTCTGTGTAAGCAGTTGTAAAAAACTGTAATAATTGGGCTGCTGCTTGCCAAACCATTTAACTTAAATATGTTGTATGGTTTATAAATACAACAACAAAAATAAATGATTAAATATTACAAATTTAAGCACTGGAACAGAGCCAAGTGTGTCATGGATAATGACACTACAGTATGTTGTTCTCCTCCACTGGGTCGGCGCACGGCTGTTTCCTGTTACCAACTGTATACATACTCTATATTAAAGAATAAAAAAGTTCCCATCCTGGTAAACACATTCTGAAGGTTGCAGATGACTCAGTCATAGTGAGTTTGTTAGAGTGGTGTGATTATGTGCATGGCCCAGTGGTTGAATAACTTTTTTAAAAACATCTGGGTACTAAATTTACAACATAATGGTGCTATATGTTGGCTAGATGGGTAAATATGCACCTATTGATTACGTATTTGCTATATCAACTTTATAATAACCAAACATTTAAGGACAAAAAAAGTAGTTAATACTGCTTTAAGAGTTACTTCACTTAATCACAATTACTGTACTGCATCTAAACAAATGTATGTAACAGAGACAAGAAATCCAGATGTATGTGAGTCATTTAATGCCATTTAGTGCTTATTTTATTGTGGGCCTACACTTGTGATTTTACTTAAATGTGGGTAGATTACAGCCAAATTGTGTGTGGGGTGTATAGAGAGCCCTTGAGCTTAAATTTCCAATATGCAAATTTTAAAATATGAATCCAAACGCAATGCCAAAGATAGAGAACAGTTAAAGATAAAGTCGCCAGCCAGAAAACATCAAGGATGCATTAGATGGTGACTTGGCTGAGGAAAATAAAGCCCCAAGATTGATTACAAAAACAATGCAACAATCCAAATTGCTTGGCAGAAACATATAGTGCAAAAGTCTATGTTTACTATCCAGAGAAAACAAAGTCCATCTCAATCTCTAAAGATGTAGTTTCTTGTTTTTGAAAGCTTGAGAAGCTTCATACAAGATGGGAAGCAGAACGTTATGATTATCTGATGTGGTCCTCTGCCTTCAAATAAAAACACTTGAGTACAGTAGTTTTAATATTTATTTTATTTAATAAAGGACAATAATTAACATGAGCACTTCTCAGTGGGTCAGATTAGCCATTAGCCACGGCAGGTTATTTGCCACGATGCAGCTTGCTGTTGTTGCAATGAAGTGCAGACATTGATGGAAAAGGTATTACCTGAAGTAACTCCAGGGGTTTGATTGATTAAGATGATAACATGGAACCATTTAGAGACGCGATGGACATAAATAAACATAAATATAGTTAATGTAGCCTATTTTACTTGTAAAGTGGATAACTGTGAACAGTGTGACTTTGAGGCACATTGTGCTAGCCATTTTCCCTTTCAACTTTATATTCAAATATTTCAGGTGCACAACATGAGCTTGTAAGTTATGCCACTTGCCCTAGGAAATACTTCTCAAAGTCAGTGTCTCTGTTTACATTCCTTCTCAATGAATGATTACACTTTCATTATTTACTACAAAACTAACACAGTATGATCCATTCTGGTGTGTCTAATCCACATTTGAGTTTATTAGAAATACAGTCGTTTTCCTTCAGCTCAAAAGCAGTCCAATAATAGAGAATGATCAGCCAGACATGCCCCAGCATTTTTAGAGTGATACATCCATGAAATTGGATCCGCTTCTCACACTTTCATCCCAACCCGTTATTAATATTCTATATCATCTGCACAATTCCTGTGCCACTTCCCATACTGTTTAGTAGCCTTGGAGGAAACATTTGGCTTTTGATTAACCATGCCATTAAAGTGCATTTTACCCTACAATAATAAGAATGTACTAAAAAATAACTGTTTCGATGACGGGTTTCTTCTGGCAGGAATTCCCCCTTTTGAAAAGATAAGCACATTCATACAATTCAATCATTGCATATAGTATTCATGTATGTCAGTGTCTTTCTCTGAAGCGATGCTGCCTTCTGGCTGTATTCTTTGGTGGTATTGAAATAAAAAAAATGTTGAAAAGATGTTCCAGGTCTCAACCATCGGAGGATGTATGGCATGAAAGCACTTGTGCCAACAACAAAAAAAACTTGTGAGAGCATGCTTCTTTGAATAGCAGATTATGTTGGGATACACTGTTGTTGATGTTGCAATATTAGCTGTTACTGAAGCCGGTACAAACTGCACCAATAAAACATTATTTTAGCTTGTTAACTAAATGTATCGCTTTGTCACTCAGAGCCCTAATTAAGTTACTTCCTTAAGATTAGGAGGTCGGGTTCTAGCAACTTTGCATATTGTGTTTATAAGCTGCAAGCTGCAGACCACAATGTTGTTTGAGCTTCTTTTTCTTATCCTCTACTTTTTGTCTATTCCATAATGTTGTAGTGAACAACGGTGTGGATTTGTGCATTTTATATTGAATAAATTTGGAACTACTCTAAATTCCTTTCTCCTCCCCAGAGAAGAAGGGGAGGGGTCAAAGTTACTATCTCTAAGTGCTAGCCCAACCATAAAACTGGCACCATTTTGATTCCGAAGCTGATAACGCGGGGCCTGACTGTTAAACTGACAAAGGGACACGAACCAGCCATTGGCCTCTCCCTGAACAGCCTATCAAAACTGGCCCCCCACACACGTTTCCGTGGCAACTGACCTTATTCTTTGTTTTATTACCACATCATTCCTTGTCTCGCCTAAGTGTGACATGGTCCAGGACAGCCGAACTTTCAATGTAAAAGGGACTGCAGTCTCCAAAGACTCAAAGCATTTAATTAAGTTTAATTAAATCTTTAGTTACTTGATTACGTTTGCCTCTATTTGAGTAGTTATGTTAACTGTTGTTGCTATCCGTTGTTGATATTAGTGCTGAAAAGAAAGTTACTTGTGCAGTGTTTTTATTTTCAGCAAGACACTCCTTCATCTAATGTAATCCAAGCTTTCCTCATGTAACCTGAGCTCCCCCAAGTGGACGAAATAAGTATTACATGCCCTCATTGGAAATGCCGAAATATCCTGACCAATAATGTGACAATTGTTTCCGGTTACCAAATGCCTAGAACAGTACAACCGTTCGACCATTGAGGTTCGATTGTGGAAAATATTTGATTATAATACGCGCAAATAGATTTCTTTTAAACATTAAGTTTAGAAAGGCAGTCCCTTGGGAAACCTGAGACGCCCCCTGGGGAACCACGCCCCAGGCAACAAAAGAATGACACGCGACCTCTCGCGCTCTTCTCTTCACTGTTGGCTCTCTTCCACTCTGCTCGGCACTCTGGACGCTTCGGCACGTGTTTGGCGTGCCTCGCCAGGCAATGCCCAGACTCGGCCAGCGAAACAGGCCTTTTGTTCGCCTGAAGCTACACACCTGAAGTGCCGCGACATCGATCTGCCTTCAGTTTGTTTTATTTTCTTTATTTCTTTTGTTTGTTAAAGTTATCAGTCCGTTAAGTTACACTGGACTAATTCAGGAATGACCAAGTTCCATTTTAAGCCTTTTTCGTCGAGCCAACTTCACCGAGGTCAGACCAAGCCACGTGGTCTCGCCAGCTACAACGAAGGAAACCTGAAAACAGCCGAATTGCCAGACGGAGGAGGCGTTTTCAATCAGACACGGAAAACCCCGGAGAATCCCTAGCAAAAAGCCAGGATCGGGCAGCTAGCGTGGGACCCTTGCAACAGGCCAAAAGCAGGCTGTCGACAAGCAGTAAGACTTAACACATGTTCTGTGATCAGATGTCCATTTTAACTCCTAAATTATAGCATTAGTTTACTTTCATTAGCTCTTCTATGCCGTATGAGTCAAATGCTTCCCACAGTCGAACCTCCAGGCTCATTGTTCAGCAAATGTTTATGTTCCCTGTATCCCACCATCTTTTTATCACCTTAGTTAGAGAATAAATTCACTGTAATATAATCAAGAGCTGTGTGTGTTGCCTATTTCTAGTTCCTGCCAAGAGAATTGACCCTTTAGATATGAGACTGACTGACTGATTTAAGATAATTGAGCAATTATTAACTGATCACTAGTAATAATTGTATAATTATTCAAAACTACCTAGAGGTCCGGAGACTCTAGGATTATAACAACTCTGGTGGTGCCCTGAAACGAGGAATAAATTTTGATTTTATGAATCTTAAAAATTCATAATTGGGTATCAATTCTCATAAATTTATTAAATTGCATGACTAAAATTTAGGTCTGCTACAATGTGCATTTGTACCAACTGGAAAATTATTGTTTTTATTGATAATTTATCCCACAACCATGCGCATATTTCTTAACATATACATAACATAATAAAATTAACAATGCATCAAATTACTATGATTATTATGAAAAGGGTTGCTTGTAGTGACAAACCCACAGAGAATTATCACCCACTTCTACAGTCAT